TGATTGAATTTATAATCTTTGATTTAAGGTATTATCTACATTTTGTCTATTACTTTCACGTACATTTTTCAAAACATTTTGAATTTTTAATCAAAGTAATGCACCATTCATAAACCATTCATGATCCTTTACTTTGTATGCTACGCGCTTTAAAAACATATTTTTTATTTGCATGATTGTCGACATTTGGCCACTATCTCACCTAATAGTAAGCGATGATGTGGCGGCGATTTTCCTGAAGCGATACCACCCTTCAAACCTCCTTAATTTAAAAGTTTGGCAAGTTCCTTGCAACTCTTCTGATATTGTATGTCCTAGTTGGATGAAACCGCTTAACATCAGGCGATAAACCGCTCATTCACACCATATCCTTTAAAAATACGATACTTACCCTCATCTCCTTGATCATCGGTAGGTAGTTCTCCTACAGTGATAGCAATGCCACAAAGTTTTCCAGAAACGCGTCGATCCAGCATGGAAACTTCCAGAATCGGGCAGAACATGCAGAAGTCTTCCATGAGCCATAAATTTTCCTAGAAAATAAGGGACACTAAGTTAGTTTTAATACTTCACAATACTAATCGAATATGGATCCAAAGGGGTGTCAGGCAGGGAGACACTATCTCGCCCAAACTATTTACGCTGGTCTTGGAGGATGTATTCAACAATCTGGGAGAATAAAGGCCTATTAATATCAGCTTCCATTTTCCATTCTATTACTCCACTATCCAACCTCGATTCGCTGATGATATAGCGTAATTCGGCAGTGATCAGACTATGGTACATAATCTACATGACGGATCATTAGACGTAGGACTGAGGAGGAGGAGGAAGGAGCTAAACCTTTATAAGACCAAGATCACGACCACGGATATTGCAAGCACGGCGAGTATCAGTGTGAAAGGTAAGTCAATAGTCAGCCAATATATTTACCTTAGTCAAGAAGAACTTGGGAAAGAAAACCAGGGAACAGAAATAAGCAGGCGGATCCGTCTAGGATGAGCAGCCTTTGTGAAACTGAACTTTGCTTTCAAAATGAACCTTACCGACAGTCAGAAAGCAAGCATTTTAACCAGTGCGTCCTGCCAGTCCCTACTTACACAGCCGAGACTTGGGTAACAACAAAAGCCCTCCAGAGACTAACTCTCGTCACACAAACGGCCATGGAACGTAAGCCGGTAGAAGTAACTTTGATGCACCACAAGACTTACAAATAGCTGCGGAAACAAAGCAAGGTATCAGATGTAGTCAAATGAACAGCTAAGCTGAAGTGGCAATGGGCGGCACATGTAGCCCGCAAACACAACTTGTGGTGAGGTACCACGGGGTAATACAAACGATCTGTTGGTAGCCCGCAGATGAGATGGAAAGATGATATCAAGGAGATGGCGGGCAAAATTGGATACTATCAGCCAAAAATAGAATTAAATGGATAGATTTAATCGAGGCCTACACCAAATTGGTTAAAAAAGGTTGGAGATGATGATGATGAACTTAGTTTTTGGTTCATTACACTTAACAATTTCCTTTATATTTATATCTATTTTATATATATTTTACAATTAAATCGTGTGCCCATTATGATGTCATCATCCTCTCCTGAAAATTCCAAGCATATTCCAATCATACGAATAGTGTCACATATATCAGAGCTAAAGTAAAAACTATTTTTTCCTGGCAAAACCAGTTATTTCCAGGACACCGTAATTTAACAACAATTTCATAGGTTTTTAAATATAGCTATCTATCTTCTTCTCCAAGTTCCCAGACAGCAGAAAAAGACATACCGACAATGATTATAAGAATGACTAAGAACGTATGTGCCAATAAAATGGAATAACACATATGTTATTAACTCAAAGAAATAATAGTCTTGAAGAAGCGTTTAAAAAAGAACACATCAAAATTACCCCATCGATCATCGATAAATCACAAAAAAGATTTGCATTTTTTACAATTACAAATCTTTTACGCTTTTAATTATAATGAGATCAATATAAATATTAAATTTGAATGAAAACCAACAAGGAGGTGGGCTAGTTAAGTAAGTGATGTATTTTTCCACTGGTCAACTGATAGCATGCGCTGCCCTGCCGGAGAGCCTGCTATCAGCCGACTGACGATGTAATACCGAGACAGTCGAGTTTGCATCTCGATCATGCGCACTGCGATGCCACTCATTAACGGTCACTGCAGACGGGACACTGGTCATAGCTACAAATCTTCGGCACTAGAAGCGAGAAATGACTGCAAAGGTAGCTGAAGCATGTGACATTCACATGAAACTTTGATAGAAAGAATTTAGATATGAAGAAAGAAAAACATTTACTATGCACCAGCCCCAGCAAGAAAAGCATACAAAAAATATTTATTACCTACTTATTTAAGGGATCGGTACATGCCATAAAAATTATGTGGTGGGCACCAGCCTCAAACATATTCGGCGAGACCAAAATACCTCTAGAAAATGTATAAGGACTATCGAAAACATGTCAGTTTCAATCATCCACCCAGACATTTTCTGTCTTGGGTGAGGCGAAAGGCAGTAACAGACTAAAAACAACTCTGTTGTTACTCCTGTTTCGAGTCGAAACTAAGGTAACCCGTTAAGTCGTTTGCGGATGTCAGAAGGGTGGCGATTTGAGATTGTGCGAAGGTCCGTCTGCAGCGACCGTACGTAGCCATGCTGCATACAGCATATACAGTTAAGTGTAATCCTTTCATTATACAAAATCAAAGGGTGAACCAAAAACTTATTTTTTTTAACATACGTGTACTGGGTATATTCCTCGCATATTTCTGCTTTTGACAGAGTGAGATGGATGATCAGGGTGGAGCTAACGCCGTAGAATTCCTGTTATGAAATTGTGAGGGCATGTTCATATCGAATACTTTTAAAATTTTCTGTACAATACCAAGTAGGTACCTACTTTGACTTCATGGTTGACGTAGTGGCTAAGCAACCAAATACTGCTGTATAACGGTTCGATTCCCGCACGGAATAATGTTTGTTGTTTCAGATCAAGTGTTGGTAAAGGCACCAATAACGTAGGAAAATGTCAGACGCCCGAAACCAGAATATTTTAAGTCTATTAAGTCTATTTTAAGTCGCGATATTTTAATATTCGGGGGTTAATATGATATAATAAATTGGTCTAACATATTTTGATATATATAACATATATGAACACTTGTGTGGAAAGGGCCTTATGTTAATAACGTCGCCCAATAGTACACTGACCATTAGTACGTATAGTGTTAACATTTTCATGTATGTGTATCGTCGTCGATTGTAGTTATGTCGCAGGCAGATTATATGATCCGCCGTATTACATAACGGCTAGCCAATTATAAAAGCAACTGTTTTGGAATATGGTGGTTAAACGATTAAGATTAGTTATATTGGGTAAATTCAGTATGAGGCACTAGTGCAATGCACGACGAAATTCATGTTATATAATAATTCAACATTTTATTTAAACAATATATGATATACAGACCGTATATAACATGATATAAATAAGCATTATCCCTAAAAATATGAACATCAATAATCATTATTTTCAAGGAAAATTGATTTAATTTATGAGCGAAACATACTTGATTGTTGCTAATGGCGGGAGAGCGTTAGCCATTTCAAACTTAGTTTTTCTGATGAGCTTAAATTTGGTTCACACAGAGTCTACCACCAACGCAAATCCAGATATTTAAAGAAACGTGCACAGGACTTACTTGACCGTTATGGACGACGGGAAGGAACTCGGAAACGGGCATTCAAGGCCTTAACTATATTGTCTTTCTTGTAAATATGATAGAATATGAATAAATGAGTCGAAACGGCCGAGTAATACAATTTACTAGTACTAGAATGCGTTTTATTTACCGGTTGCAAAGGTGATACTGGTTCGACGCTGGTGCTGCGAAGTCCCTGCTGGTAGTAAGGCACAAGCGTCCTCAAAGACACAAGCATCGCTCCTCGGTGATAGGGACCATCATCTCCCGAGGCTGCTAATGTACCAGAGGTCGTTGCTCCATACATGTGAAGAAGAGAAGGCCCGAATGTTGGTAGAAAACCTGTAAAGATTGTAATGGTTGAATATTTTGCATCTGTAGTTACAGCCAATCTATCTGTCAATCATTTTTGTTGTGTTACCTTTTTCTTGTTTTAATACCCCATGATTATCATAATTAAAAGAAGGAAAAGTCAACTTTTACTAACTAGACATCTTAGAAATTGAACTGTCTATTAGTGAAGCTAAGTGCTAGTTCCAGTTTTTTTTTTATAAAACATTAACTTTTATTTAACAGTATCACATTATCACGCATGTATTTAGAAAACTATATTATTACCATTTTCTCCATCATGTGACACCTGGCCTAGCTTCAAATGAGCGCTGCCCAGCACTCTGTTGAAGCAGCCGTCTCCAGAACACACCTCCAGCCGAATCATCTCACTCATTGTCGGGAACATCTCCACAATGGATATCTGCTCACAATAGACTGGGTGATTGTTACGAGCTTGAACTGCAGTTTTTGCCTAGAAAGAGACATAATCTATTATGACTGCCTCCGAAATGTCTTCTGTAATTTCATAACTCCTAAAGTAATACAGAGTTTCTTTGCATGGATGCTATTATGCGGCCTTTTTCGTTCAAGCTGTTGATTTGACAGATACTGGAATATGATAGAAAAATGATAAAAATTATGGCAATTAACTAACAAAACTAATGGACTTATTTACATGATCAAATGACCTCGTAGTCATTATTAAAGATACAAAAATAGTTGACAAATCTTATAATGAAATAATTTTACCGAAAGGCCGCAAAAAGACACCCTGACGAAAGTACTCGGTAATTTTCCAAAACGTCGGTCTCCCTGACCATGCGCCCCGTTTGGCAGACCAAACGCTCCGTATACGGTGATGATGTAATTAGCCGGTTGTTGTTCGGCACCAGTCGGTAACAAAAGATTGCTGGAAAATAAAAAGAAAGTCATATCACAAGGTAGTCAACATTACCGATGACATAAGATTCGCCAAAGACTCATTTGAAACTAAGTTCGTCAGTATGGTCTCAGGGTATGAGAGCTTGATTCATTCAATTTATCAGAGGATTTGAAAAATTGGATAAATGTTAGCCTTGCTATACTTTAATCTTTTCTGGACTAATAATGACTTTAGAATTATAAGTTACGCCATTCATTCTTCGAAGTAAAAAGAAGACAGCTTAACATCTTCACTATATTGGAAAAAGAAAGGAGCTACTGAATAGCTGATCCTTGGGGGAGGCCTTTGTTCAGCAATGGAGGTCTTTTGAGTGGCCGATGTGATGATGATGACGAATAGCTGTCATAATTCAACTTACTCTTCTACTCTGTCCTCGTGTACAACAACAGGCATTACTTGAATATCTCCCCGAAAAACGATGGATATATCCACCTTCAGGAAACCCACGGCTCCAGCAGACGGGTTCCGGGGCAAGCTCAGTTGTGCCCATTTATGGAAAACTTGATGATCTGTTCAAAAAACAAAAGCATATAAAGTTATATTTCCTATAATATTCTAAAAGTTCGCGTTTCATGCAAGGAAATAGATCAATGACAAAGATTCATTGATTTTTGCACATGCATAAAAATCATTATAGTAATCTTTCCGCAAATTATACGCACTGAGGGGTATGAAACCCGTAGTTAAAGTTGCAGCGGAGAAGAAGTACTAATAAATAACGTAATAGTACAATTAATAAAGGCTATAAAATAAATAATGTATTATTAAAAATTCGTAACACATTACCACGCGTCTGAAACACGCATATTATTTGACAGTGTCAAACCGTAGTAAAAAAAGTATATGTTTTTGTTAAAAAAGTTTATTATACAATTGAACCAAACTTTTTCAAGTTTCTACTGAGCGACACGTGGCGACATACAAGGGCACAAGGACATTGTACATAATAATAGCATAACATACGAAGCTTAAACTGTCAAACACCAAGCGGTCACCGGTGACCGCAACCTATTGTTCTATAATTGTGTCTACAAAAACGGGACTCGACGAGTTAAAATATATATAACTATTTTCTTTACAATTTTACTATGCCATTGCCATCATAACCGCGAGTAATGCTATTAAATTACGGTATATAAGAAGGAAGAGCGCTGCCAAACTTATTTCTTATATAAAATGCTGGAGAGATGAGAGAGATTTATTAATATAATACATAGACCATTGCTGCACCCTGCACACAAATGTAATAAACTCACACCATAACAAGGTATTGCACCGATTGCATCATAGAAGTACTCACACAGACGCATAAGCGCCACCCTTATTTTTAGGGGTCTGTCCTGTAAAGCTGTTGATAGTAAAACGGAGCTACCAATAGTCCGTTATTTTCTCTTGAAGCGCCATCTACATAATGTGATAGTCAGAAAAAAGCTCACTAACATCAATCTTGAGTTTTAATCAGTTAGTCAGAGAGTGACAGATGCGACAATGCTGTTTTACCTAGTTGTAATAAATATAGGTACGGAACCCTGGACTAAGTTCAGTATTGCTATGAAAGCTAGTGCTACCTTTGCACATCTAGACCTCCCATCAGCCTGCCAGTTGGGTTTCCACCTTGAGTGAGTGAACACGTCGACAGTTTAACGAGATTTTTAAAGACCTTTTTACCTAAGTGTGTCTTTAACTTGTGTTGTTTAGAAGTGAATAATATTATTTATTTGTATTTAATTAAAATTTCATATTATATTATAGGATTTGAGTAAACTAAAAACGAGTACCATTTTTTTTTTACTTTTGGTAAGTACCCTTATTGTTTCAGTAGTTACTTGAAACTTTCTTCTGAACATTTCAACTAAGTTAAAACTTGTCTTGTTGTTATCAAACAGACTTGTTGCGGACATTTGCCGCGGAAATGTTAGCAACAAAATTAACACCATCTTTAACAACTTTTATCGGAAAACTTAGAATAGACATAGGCATCGTGTTCTTAGACTTACAAATTAATTTTGTGGCTATATATTCTTTTTTAAAGTGCAATCATAAATATTAAATTAATAATTTAGAAAATCGCATTTTTATTGACAACAGAAGGTGTCAAATATTTTCAAAATATTGCATAGTCGATAGCATACTTTTGGGTGTTTGTATCTCAAGAGGAAATAGGTATGGACTGAACTAAGTTATTTAATTCGTATGTCCGCTTGTCTCCTTGTTTGTTTGCCAAAATATTATATCCCCTGTAAATCGTCCGGGCCTTTTTTACATATTTTCCAAAAACGTATTTTTCAATAAATCCAGAAATCAAAACGTCGGTGTCTTTTAGCGATGACCAAAAACTATACCTAAATAGTAAAAGATACATTTTTATTTTAAATTAGATACGGATTCCTATTTAGTATAAAAATGTTATTATATTCATAGGATTATAATCATGTGTTATTTGCGGAAGCATTACTACGACTAAGTACTTCGATCCGCGCCGACACCGACGGCTAAATAATATTTACACTGCAGCCCAACACGGCGACGGCCAACATACACATAGAATTTTTTTTAGTAATGTTATGTAAAATATAAAATCACTAAATACCAGATCCGTGGAATCATTAATATAAAAAAAACTATAGTACTCACTTAGATGATTTTCAAATTATCAATTCATAGTCATAGTAGACTATGTTTAACAGGCAATGGAATATTTTATATTTATTTATATTTTATCTTTCATGTACACAATTTGATTATACAATGGCACATAAGGCGAATATCTTCACTAGGTTCTTGTTATTGATAATGAATAGGCGTTTGGCCGCTATCTTGCCCATTAGCAACCTATTCACTCGAGACTTGAAGAATGTTTATCCTTTAGGAAACCCAGACACTGGCAAAGAATTTCACTCCTTTGTAGTTTGAGTGGATGGAACATCTACAATATAATGGTGACGCTACTGAGACTGAGGCGATTCTGAGTTCGGGTTCACATGATCATTGTATCCAATCCCTACCAGCCACGTGCAATACACTTGGCTACAGGCTGTCCTGTGTAATCTGCACTTGGGCTCCTTTCCAGAATATCGGTTCTCCATCAAATTTAACAGCCTCTCCTACTAGCTGATCCATTTGGGAACCAAAATAAGCCCAGTGCTGCATTATTCTGCATTATTCAGGTGCTATCAAATAATAGGAATGTGAATTAAAAAATATTCATCATCCAAAGCTCGTTGTGATTAAGAATTGGCCCAGTATACCTAAATGTTGTCTTTTTTATTAGACTACTCGTATTTTACACGCTAAGGTTGTTGTCTACTTAGCTGAACAAAATAAGTACTCCTCAATGCAAAATAATAGGTACAGCTACAGATTTTGTACATGGGTAAATCATAAAAGTAGCACTGTAAAGGCTTCTCAGCACTTAGATCATGAGATGTAGAGAATTACTTTATAGCAATTTACTTGTTACCATTTCAAAGACCACACAGTTCAGATAATTATTATTCATACAGTCCATAACCGCTAGCTAGTACAGCGATTAAATACGACCTCTTTGCAAGGTTTGAACTCGAGATTTATAAAAAACAAGACTTAAGGCCAGCGGGCATGGATAACTTGCCGCCCGACCAGAACCAGACCCGAAAGTACGGCGCGTGGCGATCGGCGCGCGCGCCACAAAGAGCTATCAGACTACCACGGATGGGGCCCAATAGGGCTGATGCTGATACGGAGGCGCGGAGAACGTACAATGTTGCAGGGACTCCGGTTCGAAGCGGAGAAGTAGGAACGGGGTGGTTTTTAGTAAAAAAAAAGCCGTCTTAAATTATACAAAAGCTGCCGTCCATAACAGACTACCTACCTTGATAGAGTAGCGTAACCCGCTTGAGCAAGCGTGGTGATTAATGCTCAAACTTTCTCCGTGCGAGAAGAGGTCTTTGGTCAGCAGGAGCCACTTATAGGCTGTTGATGTGTGTAATGTGATACATTGGCAAAGTACAGGGCGGATAAGATGCGGTCTGATAAACCTGAACCTTTAACTGAGATTTCTAAGCAATCGTGGAGTTAATTGCTAACCGTCTCCTGCTTCTTGATATGGAAACGTATACCTATTATGATATTGGATTCAAAGAAAAAAGTACTTGTAAGCAGGACTTGTCATAATAACACAAAGTCAATTAAAAACAGAATTTTTAAGGTTAAATAACGATGATTGAAGCACTGCAATTCCAAATCATTCATCTCATTAAGATCACTAGTCCAACTGAACTTATTGAGAAACCGATAGCAGTTATTATTCCTTGTGATATCCTCATGTTAATAGGTAGTTTAATTTTATTATAATATACTTTTATCCCGAATTTTAGACAATCTTTTTGTTGGCTATAAGAAGTTATGTATGAAGATGACGAATCTATACTAATATTATAAAACTGACAAGTTTGGCTGTTTGTTTTATGGTACTAATTTCTGGAAGTACTCACTATAATTAAATAATACTTTCTGTGTAGAATAGAGAATAGTAGTTTATGGAGGTGGACACTATAAAGACATGCTATAAAACATTATGCCACGATCAATAGAAACCGAGCAGCGTGCAGATGAAACCGAGCTATAGTTGGGTCATTACAAACGTGAGAAGACCAGAAGTATCACGTCAAGGGAATACGCCAATGCCGCACATCTCGCGTAAGTGTGAGCTCAGATAAAATCGACTTATGTATGACAGTTCGCACGTTTGTAATAGCTCAACTATCTTGCTCAGCTAGTCTTGTGATACAGGTATTTTAGGGAAAAAGCAAATATTATAAATAATTATGTTCTTATATTACAGATAATAAAAATGTAATCAGAAAATGTCGCTGGACGAGATACAGCTGAATGAAGTCTCACCTGATTTCGACCCGAATAATTTAGAACCAAATCAAAGATTGGTTTATACAGTAGTAGCGAATACAACGAAGATCAACCCATCATCCGACATTCCAGGTAAGCATGATCGTTTTGCAACACTATGAAGTATGACAGTCGACTAATGGCGAATATCGAAACGCTACTCAATAGGGTAGATGCCTAATTTTTATTTTAATATCCGTCTGGTAGATTATTTTAAATCATTAGACACGTATTTTTTATTTTCTTCCAGAAACGAATACTTTCGACGATATGTTGATTTAAAATGTCGCGTGACGCACTTCTATGTACTTACCTACATTTTATACGTAGAAATGACGTTTTGCCCACATGGGGTGGTTTTTAGTCAGTAAGAGTCTGACACTCTCTCTTAGGCGGGAAAAGTCATTCGATGATTTTCCCCCCTTAAAAAAGCCCCAAATTCTAAATTTTGATTCGTTTTATCTAAGTATTGTTTTATTATAGGACAAAATAAAAAATACGTGACTAATTATATTTTTAATTTTCATACCCTGTCGTCATCCCAATTTTAAGTCGCGCTTAAGTATAGTTCTGTCTCTACAAATTCTTTGTAAAATGACAGAGATGGTACGATATAAGTATAGTT